TGCAATAAACATTGGTGGGGACACTCTAAGGATAGTGGCTGATGGACTTACAGTTACTCAACCCCAACGCTTTCAATAGGGTTTATATTTTCCAAAAATGAGCTCAAACATATAATTATTGAATGCTTTCCTCTTGTTGAGAACACAAGAGAACCACAAACAGTGATGATTATAGTTATAGACAGATGCCTGCCTTTAGTGCATTATTTATAAAGGGCTCAAAAACATTAATGTGTAAAAATGACGAATAACAGCCGATACTGATGCCAACAGCAATCTATCATGCATCCCCAGTATGGACACAGCTTCACCTCCATCCATCCATCCATGCCTGGCTTCCCTTTAAGCTGCATCAGTGATTATCCTCCTTTACAAGCAGCAAAATCAAATTTAGAAATTTGTCCCATATGTCGTTGACAGCCAAAGTCTATGTACTGTATTGAACCTTTCAAAAATCACAGGACGCAGACTTAATACATTGATTTTTATTATTTGTGCTTTAATTCTTGCAGGTTTCTTATATTTCACTTTTAAGTGTGCGTCCTGTGAGTCTGGCTGTCTCTGGGTTGGCTGGCGAAGCTATTACTGAGTCTTGTTGAACTACAGAAAACAAAAAGATAGGTTGAATTTTATTATAACAATGCATATTTTTTCTTGTAAACTTGGGGATATATTTTATTGCATGTTGCATATTCCAGTAAATCTGTTTCACCTTTAAATCTGCAGCTGTCCCTACTTCTCTCTGTGCTCTGCTTGAAAACAGATTTATGAACCTGTCTACCAATATAATGATGCCAGAGAAAATAATTTTCGACATATCTTGAAGCTCTGCAGTCTGATTCTCTGTTCAATAAGAAAACCACAGATATGTGTAAATTTTGATTTGTAACTCTGAGTAATGGTCCTCTGAGCAACTATTTTAACTTAAATAATTGTAAATTCTGTTGCCATTTTTAGCTGAAAAAGCCCCGCATTTGTAAGGTACAGATTTCTTGGTAGCATCTCTTAACCAACCAGTCTCCTAACTTTTACTGAAACATCAAAGTAGCTACCGGTTAAAATTCACTGAGTGCTGCTGTGTCTCTCCTTCTCCACGTAGCTACTCTGTACGCAGTGAATAGTGACCCCAAATAATAATATGTCCCAAAGCAACAGATCCCATGATATTTCACGGAGAGGTGGGACTCGAGAGAAGCAGGAGAGCGAGGAAAAAACTTGGACTGAAAACACTAAGCACAGTTAGGTGCACCAAACCCCAGTTACTGTTGGCTAAAGTAAATCAGAGGAAAGGGCGAAAACAGTGGAAATTATTGGTGGGGACTATCCCCTCCATGCCAAAGTTGGTGGGGACATGTCCACACCAGTCCTTCAGAAAGTTACGTCAGTGCTGATATTAATGTACTGAGTTGGGAATTTTTTGAGTGGTTTAGAACTCTTCTACATAGACAGACATACAGCTGCATAGTGTTCCAAGATAAATCCAATAACACCTAACTGTTGTTTCGGCTAGGGTAGTATGCTGGTTTACAAAGAACATCAGAGAGGCTTAAAATTGACTGAAGAAAATATGAGTTGACAGCCATTGAATAATTTTTTTAATTTGCATACATGGTCTCTAATTTTTGACTGTTTGTCACAAAGCCACACCTCCTGCTCTACGGACTTGTAAGGAAATATGAATATATTGCATGTATACACAGTTTTGACACATCCTCACCTGTTTTGAGACAATGCAACGATTTAAACATATTCTATAAACCTGGTTCTGTTATCCAATACCACTAAGTTTATATTAAAAAAGACAGTTTGCAGTGAATAGATGCAAAATCTATTGGTAGTTATCCATATGTTAATTAACAGAATGCCTAAAGGACAGAAACAATGCTATAGAAGAAGCTGGTTTTATACTGAGAATAAATAACACACAGATAAACTATTCACAAAATAAATTGCTTCTAGAAGTAACATACTGGATTATATTTGGTATCAGAGTAAATAAATACATATGTGCATATACTTTTAAGATGGTCATTATTTTTCTAAATCAAAATCATTGTCCATATATGTCTCATTTCTGCAACTGATATTTAAAGTATTTTTGTAACACACCATGAGCTGGACAATTTCAAGAGGTATAAACACCTTTCCATCTCATTGCACTCATCATTTTTCAGTTGAGCAGCAGCTGCCTCTGTTGGCCCTGATAACTGAGGCAGTCTGAAGAGCAGTTTTCAGTTGGAGAGACAGGGTGTGTGTTGTGTATGAGAACAGTCCTTTACTTTGTAGAACCATAAACAGAGAGCTACAAGCACACCTGACAGCTGCACTTAACCCTTCCTTCCAGAATATATTTCAAATTATTCTGTGGTGAGCAGAGGCCTGGTGGACTTCTTCATGAGTGCATCAGGAGAGGAGGCTGAAGCGTCTGTAGACCAGGTGGCTGGGAGGTCTGATTTAATTTTGGAGGAGCAGATGGTGACTTACTATTGGAAGACAGTTGGAGTTGGTATGTGTCTGCATGTGTTTATGGGTGTGTTAGACCGAGGAGAGGGTTTAGAAATACCTTTTATATGATTCATGAAACTTTTAGAAATCTGGATGTTCACATTTTCACGTAAATTGCTAATGTGACCATATATTAGACACAATCTGGCTTAACTCATGCAATGCAATGTAACTACACTGGTGTTGCAATATACCAAATGTTGTAGATATTCAGAGGTCTTATTAGTTGACATCTCATTTCTTTATTATTTAAATACAAATCCTTAAAGGAATAGTACACCCAAAACATGATTAGCCTTCATTTTCTACTCACCCCCATGCTGAACAACACTCTGGAGTACTTTTTTGATATCTCAAATGCATCTGGAGATCTGGGAGGCTTCTTGCTGTCTGCTGACATTCAAATAATGGAGGTCTATGGTGCCCCAGGCAGAAAGGTCCATAAAAGTCCACAAAAAACGACTCAATATTCCTCCATACTGCTCGTCCAATGTATTCCAAGTGTCCTGAGTGGGTAGCGTCCATAATTTACTCGAAACGAAGTCATTTAGAATGTTTTTAGAGCATAAACAGTAGTGTATAGGATTTCCTAAAAGCGCGTTTACGAGTCTACGGAAACTGCGGCAGACCAAACCAGATGAAAGTGCGCATTCAGCTCGGCAAAGAACTCATGCTCTTCCTCAACACTGAAGTCCTCAGACATTTTTCTTTCGTTGTTTCTTTCTTTGCACAGGTAAACAGCACATTTCTTCTTCTACGCTTGCATTATCAAGAACAGACGCTGAATGCGCCTTTTCATCTGGCTTGGTCTGCCGCAGTTTCCGTAGGCTCGTGAACACGCAGGCGCGCGCTTTTAGGAAATCCTATACACTACTGTTTATGCTCTAAAAACATTCTAAATGACTTCGTCAACTCAGGACACCTGGAATACATTGGACGAGCAGTATGGAGGAATATTGACACGTTTTTTGTGGACTTTTATGGACCTTTCTGCCTCGGGCACCATAGACCTCCATTATTTGAATGTCAGCAGACAGCAAGAAGCCTCCCAGATCTCCAGATGCATTTGAGATATCAAAAAAGTAATCCAGAGTGTTGTTCAGCATGGGGGTGAGTAGAAAATGAAGGCTAATCATGTTTTGGGTGTACTATTCCTTTAATATACTGTTAAATCCACTGAACTACTCTCCATTTACAAAAAAATACAAGATTGGGAAAAGGTTCACAATTATTTCATAGACAAAATAATTCTCCCTTTTGCTTAGTCAAGTGTTGCAGGTCTTGTGAGACAAAAAAGACATAATATCAATTGAAATATGTTGTCAACAAAAACAATGCTTTTATATGGTTAAAACCAAAGTCACTAATTAGCTGAAGTAGCATTTAATGAACCGGGCAGTAATTTATAGTAGTAATTCAATAATTTCTTTCTGGTGTGGTTGATAAACAAAAGACTCTTGAAATCCAACACCCACATTAGGATTCTCTGGAATGATAAAAAAACTGATCAAAAGGAGAAAACCCATCATGGCTGCTTTGTGACATCAAGAATTATGGGGCGACTGCTGATTTGACAGTTGTCCAACAGACAGTCAAAGACACCACTTTAACAAAGAAGGACAAAGCATAATATTTCACCACTGTGGAAGCTGGCTGTTCACTGAGTGCTGCATAGACAAAAACATAGAAAGTTGACTAGAAGGAGGAAACCATGTTAGAAAACAGGGATAACCGTAGCCTTAATCGTGCGCCCAGACCAGACGCTTTCTGGGCATCCGAAAAGCCAAAACATGGATTCTGGACCCCATTGTTGAGCTGCTATGTTATGTCCTTGCAATCTAGAAAGTGGCTTGGCATTATTTACTGTGATAATAGTTTTAACATATTGTTAGTGAGATAGTCCACCTTAAAACTGGGACTGAAACAATTAATCAGATTAATCCCAATTAATCAATTATAAAAATAATCGTCAACTAATTTAATAATCGATTCATTCTTAACTTTAGTTTAATCTGAAAAACTCACATGAAAAGACAATTCGAAGAAATTTATTGATACAATACCTCAGCAAGAAACATAGCGCTGAATTTTGATAGATATGCATAAACAGGAGTAAAGAATAGGGCTGTTTCCCCTCCAGGCCTGAAACTGGTGGTGGAGTGGAGATACATGAAGTAGGTCAGTCTGTAGACTGCTGGTTATTGAGACGGTATGCTGAGCTTTATTGGGAGATCCAGTGGACTGTAGGGGTGTAAATATTAATTGTTTTGTATTGATGCATCGATCCAACAGCTGACGATCCGATGCATTGTCACGTCCGCAAGAGTATTGATTCATGTTTGTTTTTTTTCCTCCGGTCTATTTTTATCCATTTGCTCCTGGACGTAATTCTGGAGCTAAACCTATTTTCACCTCCTACCTCGCTCCCTTTAGCCACAACCTCTTTCCAGGTAGGAAAAAATATTAAGGAGGAAAGCATTCATAAAGGGACATACCTGCTTGCCTTCCAATGTGTAGAGTCTTCTCACAGCTCCGGAGTCCAACTTGATGGCATCTGTGATATCGGTGAGCACCTGTTCAAAAGAGTGTGCTGTTTTCTTGTTGAGCAGTATCCGAACTGCTTTGCGAGGTCTTACACCGCTACGAATCACTGTTACAAGTTTGGGTTTGATGAATTCCTTGGATTCCCTCAGCAGTTCGCCCTTAAGCTGGTTTAGAGAGGTGAGGGAGCGTGATGTTCCAGTCTTGCTGCCTACAGACCAGTTGGGATTGATGTTCTTGGTGTAATCTACACGACGAAATGGCTCGTTGGAGGCACACACATAGCTCTCTCCTGAGGGAATAAAAAACAAAACAAAAACGTAACTAAATTAATGCAGGGTTTATGCAGCAATAGTGAAAAATGTGCATCATAACAGCATAATTGCATACAAGCAAACCTTAAAGGTATAGTGGACGATCTTTTACTTCCGGGTGGATCACCTATACAAGTTGTCCTCCTAATTGTCAATCATTCTGGTGATATGTTTTACCTGAGGCCGTCCTACGTGCTCATCCCGTTAGGGATCTTATTCTGCACATGCCCACTTTCAGTCGTGTATGTGTGGTGAGCTACGGTTTTAGACATTCATTTACGCTCACCTTTCTCACCACCGTTCTATGAAAATGGCAGAAGGCAAGAGAAATCTAAAAAACAACTATAAATAAAATGTGGTAATATATATTTTTCCGTGGCAGTATATCGCCATATTTAATAGTTTGATCTTTATTTAAAAAAAATTATTAACTTGTATGGCTGAAATATGTTTTATCTGAATAAATTTTAGTAGATTATACTGCCTATTACCAAACCTTTCAACTTTAGTCTCAGGGACAATGATGGATCTGTCTTTGTCATTGCTTTTTGCTTGCGATAACCATAATTTGTTTGACCCTATATTTATATCAATTATGTAGATATAACTATGCATTTATCTTCTTTTTTCTTAGATGACAGAAAAGGTTTGGAAAGGTGATAGTTAGCAACTCTATAAGGATCATTCAAAAGCAAATGAAGTGTAGACTACAAAAAAGCTTTTAAAATGTTATCAATTCTTCATCTATACCTGCCTATTCATCAAGACTTGAGTCTGTTACTGTTATGGTTCTCACCTTTTGGGACTAGTTTTCAGTTGTTCTGTTTTGTTGATCTTTGGTTTGTTTTCCATTATATTCAAACAGTCAGTAGTTAACTCTCAGTTGCCCTCCTGTGCTTGTTTCCTTTCCCCTTAGCTTTCTTTTAGTTAGTTCCATTCACACGGGCTCTATATTCAGCTCATTAGCCCATCCTTTGTTCTGTTCCCCTTATATATATCCCCTCTTCAGTCACTCAGTGCTGGTTCCTTGTTTTTGTTGTTGTTTAGTTGATTCCTCATCTCTGGCTTCCCACGTGTGTTTTTCCTAATGTTTTATGGTCTTTTGGTTCTTGTATTTTGTATTTTTTGGATTTTGCCTCAGTTCTATCATTAAATCTACAAGATTCACCTCTGCCTCTTGATCTCTGCATTTGGGTCCTCAAAAACTGCCACCCAACCGTGACAGAAGGAACCAGCCATAATGGACACAGCAGAGCCCAGCCGGGAGACTCCAAAGCCCACTTTTACTAAAATCCGAGAAATGATTTCGCCACAACATCGCCACTCGTAGCGCACCTTGAAAACGGGGAGGTGCCACAGCTGAACTCAAAAAAATGTTACCTTCTCAATCTCCACTCCTGTCTGCCTAAGGATTATTGGATATTTTTGAAGAGGTGGAGTGGAACCAAAGTGCTGCTGTCTCAAGCCTTTTGGTAAGCCTCCTCCACCACAACCTCAACCAGATCAGATCACCTGCTACCACTGCCTGTTCTATTGAGTTGGAACATGCACCTACCCCACCTTTGTCAGTTCCATCCACTTCTCTCGATTCCACTTTCCCCTCTCCCTCTGCAGTATGTCCTGGACTGACCTCCAAACGCAGACACCACTGCCGGAGAAGAAATCCCATGGCCTCTCCATCAGGTCAGTCTGATGCCGCTACTCCATCTCCGACGGGTCAGGCTGATGCCGCCACTCACTTTCCAATGGGTCAGGCTAATGATGCTACTCACTCTCCACTGGGTCAGCCTGACGCCAGTACTTCCTCGACAGTGGGTCAGTCTGGTGCCGCCAACTTTAGTTCAGCTCCAAACCAATTAAGTTTTTTCCTATAGTCTCAGTCATCACCTCCATGACCAGCAGCTAGCTTCACGGATTAGAACATTCAAACCAGTTCCCATTATCACACCCCTTGCAGTCAGAGCTCCATGTCTGAAGGAGTCACACTTATGGGAGAATTAGGAGTTCTTTCATTTCCTGCCACCTCCATCAGCTCCCTGCCAGCCAGCCTTTCTCCTCACTCAGATCCCTTCAATGTTCCATCTCCGTTAGCTCCTCTTAATGAGCATGCTCTGTGCCATCCAGAGATCCCTGAACCCCAGGAAGGATCTAATGGCAAAACAGAAGGCTATGAGAGCTCCAACCTATAAGGCCCCCTCCAGAGACTCTGCCTAGCCTCTGGCCTCACGGCCATCCTCCACAGACTTTGCTTGTTAGTTGCCCACCTTTGGTGGTTGTTTTGGACTGTTTTGTTTCTTCTTCAGCATTTTTTGATAGCTTGTAGCATATATTTACATGCTACAAGCTAAATGCACATTTTAATAATATTCCCTCCTGAAATATCATTTTTTATACCATTAGACTAACAATGTAGACTAGACTTAAAAGTCCCTGGGTTTACCTGGTACAATGGCACATCACTGCAAAATAATATGTGTTAATTTGTCAGTATTTTGGGACCGAAGCTTCTCGCCAATTCTGAATATGCCACAACAGTTTATTTAATGCTGTTTGCTTAGCTAGTGAGAACTCGCTGTTTCACACCCTAGAGAAAATAAGAAGTTAAAAGCCGCAATCTGCAGGAACACATCAACGCTTCCCGCATTGTTTATTTTTCAACAGTGTGAAAGAGAATGAGAGATTACTGACTTCCAAACAACGTCCATTGCATGGTTACAAATGAGGTGTTATTTTTGTATTTTAGATTTAATTAATTATTGTGTTTTTTCAAAAGATTCTATTCAGATAACTAGTCACTGTAATACATTGATAATTGTCATACTAAATAACTAATTGAACATTTTTCGGATACATACATATGAGTCATATCTTTAATGCAAACAAAACAATGTGTATCAGAACAATAAGTTAAAGTATATAACATATAACATTAAATGAGACTGCTCCCTTTATGGTTCAATATTTTTTCAAACTGCTATTAACCACAAATTAATTCAAAGTCTAGCCCACACAGCCTAAATGGAAAGAGTCATAGCTGTTTATAAACACAAAGCATAACAGGGGCTATCATTTATCTGACAGAGTAACAAAAAGCCCTGTGATGAAGATGACTCCAGACAAGTCTATTCCCAGAAATGTGAAAGAAGCTTTGTCCACTTTTTCCTCATGTGGGCCACAGATGAAAATCCATATTAACAAGGGGAGTAAACCAACTAAACATTTTCTTTTTACCTTGTTGGTCTCACACTGTTGTTACAAATCCAAAACCGCAATCAAAATTATGATTACTTTATAGAGTATTTGTAAGCAGATTGTTTAGTAAATGACCCCAAATTTTTTTCTCACTTTAAACTTATTTTTAATACTAGACTATAACATCACATGTCAGTGCTGATATTGAATATAACAGTGGGCATGTTTACTTTACTTGGTGGCTTGAATGATTCTATAATATTTAGTAAATCTTCAACCTCCCAGACCCTTCACTTTGGACCTGCCGTTACCCCTGGCAACCCCATGTCATTTCCTATCAAGGTCTTACTGTCAGTGTTTCATAATAAAAGCACAGGAGAAACTTAACATCACGAACTGCTACTAAATTGTTCCCTATGAACAAGATTTAATCAGGTTGGGAGTACCATCAATTTTTGGAAACGCCCTGAAGCACTGAAAAAAAGAGTCCACTTTGGTTAATCCATAGCTGTGTCTGGATGACGGCTGAATTCCGCAATACTTCCTTGTAGATCTACCCACTAAGAAAGCACCTATGCTGGGCAGTAGGCAGCGACAGACGGGGCTCTGTGCTCGAGGTAAGGGAGGATGATGAACAGCCCTACTAGGACTGAATTAAAACAGACCTTTTTTTAAAGCAACCTAAAAACCCTTGAGAGCAATCCTTCATTTCACCCTTTGTTAACATTATTTTCTCTCTATTCCATTTTAAGTTAAAAAAGCTTTGCCTACAACCAGTCCCTGATTGGTTGCTTTGTTGCTATTTCATAGAAAAGTTCCACTTTTTCATCTTCAGCGATCACTGCTCTGCTCCTCAGTTCTATCTAGTAGCACGAGGTGAGAGAGGAGCAGCGAACGCCCTCACCGTGTGGGATTCACCGCCATTAACTTCCTCACCCTTTTCCGCTTAGTTTGCATGAGGATACTATGTAAATCCACTGCCCTCACAGCAGACCCTGTGCTCTCTCTGAAGGCAACTTCAGATCTTAGAACTTTCCATTTCCTTGGATGAGGATAAAAAAGAGTTGGTGTTTTGAGTACCGTTTGTGTTTTGTTACATTTTCATTATAAATCCCACCAGTTATCTATCATCAAACCCTTGAATTTCTGTCATTACTGGTGCACATGGGAATGGTTCTTGATTGTGTTTGCACACTAGTCCAAGGCTCCAATCAATGAGGGCAGAGTGTTGGGCTGCACACTAATGCGTCCCAGGGCTAAATAAACAAGGGTAAGGTACACTTTTTTTTTTAGTCAACATTATAAGAGCAGATAAAAACTGCTAAAATATGATAAGTAAAGAATTAGTTAGAGGAGGAGCTGCTGGCACCCAAAGTAACAAGCTCTGCATGCCAAACTCCTGTCATCTCAGTATTTAGATCATGTACTGGCCTAAATCCTCTCCAGCTTCTCTGGAGGACTGGCGCAGGAAATGAGTGCAGCCCAGAGGCTTTGATTTCAAGACAAGGTGAAATAAAAATAAACCAGTATACAAGAATATCTTTATTAAGAGGTCAGAGAATTTTGAGGTGTCACCAAGAAGTAACCTTTTTTGCTAAAATGGATTGTAGGCTGGCTCTAATGCAGATTACAGAGTTTGCTATATTTGTGCATTGAAAAGCAAAGGCTCAGGTGCTTTTAGTGTTCATCTCATCAGTGAATGGCAAAGGTTAGCAGACTGAAGACATTTGGTCTTCTGACAATAAATCCACAGTTTTATCCTGACGATATAACTGTATTGTTTACACATTTATTCACGTGCAGATTAATCAATGAATACTGAATGAGAGAAGTGTAAAATATTTAAACAAGGGAACCCTTGTACAAATACACACTTAGTGCTCTACACAGCAATTTCACACTCAAATAGGCTTGTTGATAGTTCCATTAAATGATTAGTGATCCATGTTGATATAAGTTGACAGTTGTGCACATTGACAGACCACTAAAGAGAAGTATGTGTGCATTTGTGGCACTAGGTCACATGTCAGGGCAGTTATGTCGTCAATGATGCATATATGGATTCACTGTATAATGTACTGTAAAATACTCTAAAAGACAAAAGATAAATAGAAAACTATGATAATTTGTTACAGTGAGACTTTTGGACACATACAGTGCTTTATTTAAAATGATAACCCACTATAAACCTTGAACTTCTACATATTTAGTTCACATACATTAACTAACTTAATTTATTGGGATTTTATGTGGTACACCCCTCCCAAAAAATGACTCCCTTCATGTGTGTGAATTTGATGCTTGGTTGTTAAATTTGTTTTTAAATAAAAAAAAAAAAACTGACAATGTGGTGTGCATTTGTATTCCCTCTCCTTTATCTAATAAAGCTTAGATACAATAGCTGCTTTCCCAGTGAATTTAGGGATTTTTCAAACCCGCTAAAAAATCACAATATAAATCTTATCACATTGGCAAAAAAGGGTGGGTCTGACCCTCCACTGACAAGCTGCTTGGCCGCTGTCTGCCCACCGCTGCACATCTGGTGGCGCCATTATACTGGGTTAGCGTTGATGATGTCATCAGTTCCACAGAAATCGGAAAAGTTAACAATGGACAGCAACATGGAAGGAAGCCAAGGCGTAGTAAGTGTGCATTATTGTTTGGCTCTTTTGTCAGTCCAAATCCCTCTTAGCAGTGCTGAGACATGTTTATCAAATGTGAATAAAGCTGTTTTGGCTTGTTATGTCAGATGCGGGTGTCGCAAGAAGGTTCAATTCCTGACCCAGTGTTTGACCCAGTTTTGCACATTCTCATTGTGCATGTGTGGGTTCTCTTTTTGGTACTTGGGCTTCCTCCCACAGTCCAAAAATATGACTATTAGATAAAATGGTTTCTCTAAACTGTCCTTAAGTGTGAGTGTGTGTGCATGGATGTCTTTTCTTCAAGTGTCTCTGTGTGGGAGAAGATGGATGGATGAGAAACCATGAATCACATGTTCATATTGTATACAATGATCAGTGTTTGGGGTAAGGCGTTACTGTAGTAATATGTAATGTTCAGCAGTAACGGAGTAATATAACACTTTACAAACTAAATCTCTGTAATAATATTACAGTTATTAGAGTGGGTAACGCATTACAATCCAAGCTGAGCAGACCACAGCCAACAGCTTAAATAAAGAGAAGAAGACTTTTTTTTTTTTGGGAAGTGGGGGTGGTTTGTTTTATATCAGGATAAGATGGTTTTAAAAGAGAAAAATATGGTTTTAAAAACAACAGAAGGAGAAAACGGCAGTGGTATTATGGCTACAAGGGATTCAACGTTTTCCTAATGGCTATACTCCGACTAATTTAATAACATCTACAAAATGGATAAAAATATAAAAGAAAGGGGGGCATACGGGTAACCCCAAGAAATACCAGGAGGGAGTGCAGAGCTAACGACTTTATGAAGATGCCGGCGTGAGCAAATCTAAACATCCAAAGTTGGATTCCTCCAGAACAGAGGTGAAGATGTTTGACCCTGGAGAAGCGAGAAGGCCGGTGGCGGAGTATATTTTGGAGGATGTGCTGCCTCTTTCTATGGCATTTCAAAAGGTCGTCCAAAAAAAAATTCCTGTTCAACCAAGTGAAAAGGTAAAAAACATTCTCAAACGATGTAGCTCTGCAAAAGTATAAAAACATATCCATAGTTTATTTAACCCCTTTACACCCCAATGTATATACATGTATATACATTAAAAAAAGCTTTTTAGCCTTTAAGTAGCTGCCAAACAAAAGTGTTATGTCGTGATAAGGTTTTTCTTGTTTTAATTATTCTATATCATATTTTTATTCAGCTATTTGTGACAAAATATTGCACATTTTGTAAACCTTTATCCTAAATTTTTATTTTGGCAAAAGTAACTAAAAAGTAATCAGTAACTTATTATTTTACAAAGATTGTAAAGAAGCCAACTACATTCTAAAAAAGGTTAACATTTTGGAAGAAGCTTTCCCAACATAGACAATGATATGTATTTTGTGGTCTGAATCTTTTGGCATTGTACTGCTAAAACAAACAAACAAAAAAAAAAGTTTAAAGATTGTAAAACATATCAAGATACTATGTGTTTTAAGGGAGAAGCTAATTAACATTCCTATTTTTTGATCTGCATGTTAGCCCTTTACAGGGCAAGTTACCGTTTTTGATCCCTTGCATACCCCTAACAAATGGAGTCCCCCCCAATCCCTCAGTGAGATCTAGAAGCACAAGATCTATATCCAGCCATTCACCAAAGATACTGCTACATAACCAACTAGATGAGCCCTACTGTAAATTAAGTTGGAAAAAATGTTAAGTAAAAGTTAAAAAGTAAAGTTAAAAAGTTAATAAAGCCTAGTTGACAATTATATTTAGGTTTAAACTAAAAATGTTAAGAGCCAGTATCAGCATTAATGCCTCTAAGGTTATGTTGTTCCAAAAAATGTGTTTCTTTCACTCTCTGAGTGTTTTTCATCAAATTCTTATAGAAGTACTTTTGTTATTTTTCTTAAAGGAATAGTACACCCAAAACATGATTAGCCTTCATTTTCTACTCACCCCCATGCTGAACAACACTCTGGAGTACTTTTTTGATATCTCAAATGCATCTGGAGATCTGGGAGGCTTCTTGCTGTCTGCTGACATTCAAATAATGGAGGTCTATGGTGACCGAGACAGAAAGGTCCACAAAAGTCCACAAAAACGTGTCAATATTCCTCCATACTGCTCGTCCAATGTAATCCAAGTGTCCTGAGTGGGTAGCATCCAGAATTTACTCGAAACGAAGTCATTTAGAATGTTTTTAGAGCATAAACAGTAGTGTATAGGATTTCCTGAAAGCGAGCGCCCGCGCGTTCACGACGCTACGGAAGCCGGCAGACCAAACCGGAAGAAAGTGCGCATTCAGCGTCTGCTCTGCCGATAATGCAAGCGTAGAAGAAGAAATGTGCTGTTTACCTGTGCAAAGAAAGAAACAACGAAAGAAAAATGTCTGAGGACTTCAGTGTTGAGGAAGAGCATGAGTTATTTGCCGAGCTGAATGCGCTGGTTTGGACTGCCGGCTTCCGTAGAATCGTGAGCGCGCATGGGGGCGCTATTAGGAAATCCTATACACTACTGTTTAGGCTCTAAAACGTTCTAAATGACTTTGTTTCGAGTAAATTATGGATGCTACCCACTCAGGACACTTGGATTACATTGGACGAGCAGTATGGAGGAATATTGACACGTTTTTGTGGACTTTTGTGGACCTTTCTGTCTCGGGCGCCATAGACCTCCATTATTTGAATGTCAGCAGACAGCAAGAAGCCTCCCAGATCTCCAGATGCATTTGAGATATCAAAAAAGTACTCCAGAGTTTTGTTCAGCATGGGGGTGAGTAGAAAATGAAGGCTAATCATGTTTTGGGTGTACTATTCCTTTAATATATTCGGGCAAGTTCGCGTTTCTTGTTTTTACATGGACATTCATTTTTACCAACAAAATATGCACATTTGTTTAATGTTACAAAGGTAATAAGGTCTTCTCCTGGATTCCAATAACACTATTGGCTGGAAATTTTGCTTTTCTAAGTATTTCACTGAGGCCCTATAAAGAGGTTATTCACCAAACATAAAAAAGATGTAGGCCACCTCTTTGGAATTATATAGTTATAAAAAAGCTGACTGTGTAACTCTCCATCGACCTTACCCTCCACTAACTCATCCAGACTGGTGATCTTCCTGCCTCCATCCACGGTGTACAGGCTCCGCACTCCCTGGGGGAGGTGAACGTTGTCCGTCAGGGAGCGGGTTAACTCCATGAGCAGAGCATCGAAGGAGCGGAACCGGTCATTGGAAACAGCATACACCAAACCTTTGAAATATTTATCCCCGTTGCGGTAGAAACGCACTTTACGGGCTTTTTTCTCTGAGGTGAGAGACTGCAAAGTGCGCGTGCGGTAGAAGCTGCAGTGCGCGCTGTGCGCAGGGCTCGGGACCAGACCGTTTCCTTTGGACCCGGAGCCCGAGTTTGTCCTCGGAGCCCGTTGGGGTCTGTCTCTTTCCTCGAAGTGCTCAAATTCGATACTTCTGCTAAGAGACATTTTGTGTTCCACCACTTTCTGGCTATTCAACAGCAGGAAAGAAAACTTTTATCCAGAAAGTGGAAATCCCGTTGATGGGAAACCAGCCTCTTTGCCTCTTTATTATCCGCAGCGGTGCAGGATGTTATGTCTTCTCAGTGTTGAATCGCAGGTTGCAAACACTGAAGAAAGCATACAAAACAAATAAAAATAAATGAATAAATAACTACTCTGATGATGTTATTTCTTTACGCCATAAAAATGCTGTGGCACCAAGGATATATATTTTCAGGCTCATTTAATCAATAATGCGTCAAACAGCGAGCACCGGTAGTTAAAAGACATCTCATCAAACTTGTTACTGTAAAAAAGAAAATAATTTTTTCAGAAAAGTAAAAGTCGCACAGCAATGAAAAATTCAGGGTATCTTTTCCTTCCATCCTCTCCGACTTACAGTCAGAATATAGGATGACCGATCAATAGGTAATGAGACAGAGGAAGAGGAGGAGAATGCTTTCCAGCCTCGGGGTCCTAACATCCCTCCATGTTCCACAGCAAATAACTGATAGAAAGTTAGGGCCACTAAAAAAAATTTAAAATGTTAACTGATTTTTTAATTTTATTTCTGTATAATATAAGAAAAAAAGTCTGAATTTTCAGAAAAAAGTCAGAATTTTAAGATTAAAATGAGAATTCTAAGATTAAAGTCAGAAGTATGAGGAAAAAAAAGTAAGAATTCCCAGATTAAAGTCAGAATTCTGACTTTAATCTCCAAATTCTAACGTTTTACCCATATTTAATTGAAATAAAATTTAAAAATCAATTGACTTTTTTTTTTTTTTCAGAAGGGCCATTTTTTCAGTGGCCCTTCCGTAGAAAAGACATTTTTGCAATAGTCCGGTAGTTATTTTAGCTATTTTAAATTAGTTCTGACTTTATGGCCAAAGGGAATATATATATATATATATATATATATATATATATATATATATACACACACATATATATATATATATATTGTTTTAAAGGTGATTATTCATTTATTATCACACAAATATTTTCAAACCACCATTTTTTTTCTTTTCATTCAGAGATCAGGATAATGTGGCAAACCTTTAAAATTGGAATAGCTTTTATAGAATTACCTTTACAAGAATTACAAGATAATTCCAAACTAAATAAACATATATTTACATATCTAGATGAAAAGCAGGTGCTTTATACATATAAAAGTCTTGCACAACTAAGAATAGCCTACTGTAACATATTGAAATATTATTTTGCAAAAGAAAATTTAATTGTGTAGAAAATGCAGTTACAAAGTGGTTATTAAATTGATGAATGGAGTAGTCATAAATAGATATATGTTTTACACATAATCACTTTTCAGCGTCTCGGTTGAAAATGTGAACTGGTGATGTGACGGTGTAAAAATGCCATATCTTCATTCTAAACATTTGAATTGAGGCATGCCTCGGGATATATTTGAAAGAAACAACCCATGCAAGCTAATTTCTTCTGTCGAATCAATGAAAATTTAAAGAAAATAAGGAACAGAATTGGATTATCTGGTAATATAGTTCTTCAAAAACATTTAATGGAGAAACCAGTAATCAGTGCTGAAAGATAACCCTTTGTTCTACCACTGTCTTATTTGCAGGCCCAGGCCTTGGTTGGTTGTCTCTATGGAAAATAATTGAGAGATAATTTGAATGACCATAAAGTAAACAATACATTGAATCTGTGTGATAAAAAGAAATTCTACTTACAAAATGTTTTGTTAATCTATAGAAGAAACCAACAGTTTAAAAAATTTTTAAAGCAAAGACCACAGAAGAAGATAACAAATCACCTAATAGTAGACATGGGTATGGATTTGTTGGTAGACCACCAAAAACTTAAATGACTTCTAAAAGTGACCAAAATTTAGGTCATATTTCAAGTGAATGTGTTCCAGAGCTTCCCTTCTTTAAAAAAGAAAGTTGTGTGGGTGAAAAACATTTTACAGTATTGCATAATGAAGCCACTTTGTTAGATCTGTTTCAGTTTTGTAATATCCCAACATGACCCCGAAGAGATGGGGAAACTAGTCCATTTTAATAATAATACAAACTTTAATACAATTCTTTTTTTTTTTTTTTGCATTACAAAAGGTAAAATATTGTATCACATTTGTTTTAATTAAATATGCTTCCTGCTTGACTATTAGGACACTGGATAGATTTGTTGACAGGTACTGTAAGCTTGAAATTAAAATGTCAAACATAATAAATATGAAGAAGTGATAATAATTCAATTAACAGACAAGTACAAATGTTCACATTTCAGAATTTCCTAGATCTAAAAATTGTTATGTTATATAAATGAACCAAAGTGAACAAAACTGAATGAAAACATTGTCTGTGTGACAGCTGGCATTGTCGGCAACAACTTGGTTAAAAGCTGTCATTTTGCTGCTCTATTAAACAGACATTTTTCAAATGTTTATAATATGAGATTTCATGATAACAAATGGTAAAGAAAACATTTATAAATGATTATAAGGTAATTTACTAATGTTTGATAATAATTTATATACTGCATTTAAACTATTTCTAATACATAAGTAGATCATATTTCCCTGCTTAGTTAGTTTAGCCCTAACGCTAAAATCAGTACTGGAACCTAGCTTTTATTTTTCATTTAACTTTGCCTGTCTTGGACCTTAACCCTTACCCTAACATCAGTAGGATTAATACCTTACTAAATAATCAATTTACTTTCTATTAATGGTTTGTATGCAGTTCATAAGTTATTATCAAACATTGATAAACTATTGGTCCCTTCACCATTTATAAATCATGTTTTTGATAGTTTTTGTAAACTCTTATTTTAAAAATCAGTAATAGTTTAAAAGAAACAAAAGTTCTGATCATTATTTGGCACAGAATCTTTTTCCTCTGAAAATTATACCAACTTCGAGACAATTCTATTTCAATATGTTGATCAGTTTTTGAGTATCCCAAAGTCTTTCAAGCAGTCCAGAACCTAGATGTCTTTTTTCTTTCTTTTTTTTTTTTTTTAGAGGTTTTTACGGAACTAGTGGTTAATTTTTTCGACAGTAGGTGGACAGGAAAGGGGGTATGAGAGAGTGTGAGAGACATGCAATGGACCACAGATCAGATTAAAACGCGGGTTGAGGACTAAGTTGTGCGAGCTAACCACTGCGCCACCACCACACCCAGAACCTAGAAGTCTTAACTCACCTGAATGTAAAGTCTCTATCTTTAACCATCCTTGTATACTTACATTGATAATGAATGGGTAAGGCTGAAAATGTAAAACGTCTGTTTGTTCTAATTTCAATTATTTCAAATAAGTGACCATTATTATATGTCTAAGTGATGTGTAATTTAGGTGTACATATATAAGGAAATATTAATACATTTGCCTTAATCCCATTTTCACCTATTAGCTTACTGTGTGGTGTCAGAAATGCCTCATTAAACGCAAGCAATTGTTGATTCTTTAATAAGAGCCAAGTGATAGTTAAAAACTATTGCAAATATAGTTCTTTACAAGGTATTATTGGTAGCTTACCGGTCCGTGGGTCATTTGGTACCGGGCTGCACAGAAAAAAAAATCAATATATATATATATATATATATATAATTTATCGACGATCAGAGTCTGGGTGATGTTTTATTTTGAAAAATATAAAAAATTGCGGTATTCTCTCCCAATTACATCAGTCGTTGCATCTCTGCCTCGTGACATAGGTTAATTCAGTTCAAGACGCATCCTATCTATAACATCCTATCTTTGTGAACGGGATTTTCTGCGGTTACAGCGACCAAAACAAAGCTACAGAGCAGACTGGACATCAGGAGCACAGTTCGTCTGTCATTTTCTCCGATTAAGCCTAGATGGGACCGGCTTGTTGTTTTATTTTTATGCAGTTTATATTTGATTTCATGCCAGTCGTATCATTTTACTTGATCGTGTTCCACCCCCCCCGGGCGGTCCATGAAAATATTGTCTGACATATAGCGGTCTGTGGTGCAAAAAAGGTTGGGGACCGCTGGTTTAGAGGATCCAAATACAGAGGCAGAGAGGCTGAGGTGATTTCTTGCAGTTTAATTAAAAAACAAAAACAATTGAGGCAAAAATCCAACTTAAAATGTAACACATACCAGAACCATGGAGACAGCAGGGGGAGAATAAGCACGAGAGGCCAGGGTAGGACGAGGTAGGACAGAGTAAGACGAGGAACCAGCACTGAGGTACTGCACAAGGAGAGTATTTATGGTAGACTGAACAAAGAGAGAACTAACGAGCAGATTTGTAGCAGGTGTGAAGAGAGCAGCAAAGGAAGGAGCCAGGGAAAAGGAGACCAACACAGGAGGATAACAGAGGGCAACAAATCAAAAGCTAAGAACTCAAAAATATCCAGAAAACACAACAAAATAGGAACCAAACCAACTAAACTAGAAAACATGGAGCAAAGTAAAACCTAACAGAATCAAGACCGTGACAAAAACCTAAGACTGCTAATATAGCACTTTCTAATAGTGAAAAGTCCAAAATTAGGGAAGGTTTTTGATTTTACATTCAGCAGACTATTGTTGACTGGATTGTTATTCTGAACTATGTTAGGTCAGAGGGAGCAAAGAGCTCCATGATGGTCAAATAAGCACTGTAAGATGATGTGAGTATGCCAGGTTAAGTGTCTGTTGACTTAGTTGTTTGAAAAGTCCTGCAAAGTGGATTGGAGATTTTAAATATTGTCAAGCAGCAAAACTTTCCCAACATAGAGAATCTTTTTTTTTTACACATTTACCTGTACCTAACAGGCAATGGGATAAAGTAACTGGTGCTATATTTTAAGTAGATAAAAGAAGTTAAGGAAAAGTGGTATCAGCTAGTATACCTGTTGCACAACCGGTGCTAAAATAAGTTTGAGCCTCAGCAGGATTTCTTTTTTTCTCTTCTTATTTTCTTTTGTCCTGTTCAGCGTTATGGCAGCAGAACTGAAATCTGAGTACCGTGCTATGCTCAAAAAATTTGCTTTGCCAAGGGAGGCTTTGTTGGTGAGAAGTCCCCCTTGATTACCCAAAACTACTGTATTTATTACAGTATTATATTAATATTATGATTAATATATTTATATATAAATTTATATATTTATACAGCCAGAAGCAGTTGGCCAGCAAGGCCCCCAACACCTCTGA